TTTTCAACCACTTCTCCAAACTTTTCTTTGCCTATTTCCTTATATTTCCTCATTCTTTCTGCAAAATTAGTATACCTGGTGTCTCAAAATCCATAGCAGAAGCCTTTTTTTCCTGCTATTGTCCAAATATAAAGACCCCCTATAATGCAGCTCTTCTCTCTTATCTGTCTAAATTCTACCTAAACGCTAATGTCCACCTCAACTCTCATCTTCTTAAAGGCCTTCCTTGAACACTTCAGTGCCCAGAGGTTCTCTTTTTTAAAAAAAATCCTTTTGGTGCATATATTTGCCCCCTTATTTGGCACTGAATTTATATAGCCGCTTTTTTTTTTTTTTTTTTTTTGCAATTTCTTAAAATTTTTTAATTTGGATATGTTTTATCCCAAGAGTGTAGACTGTGCTATTTCAATCGGCAAACACTAATACATTTTCATTATCTCTTTCTAAGTTAAAACAAGGGCACATTAACCACTACATTTATTGATGAGGTAGAAAAGTAAGAACATCTTATGTAATTTGATTAAAATCAATCACCAAGTCAATGCTATATAATCTAAGATGCCTGGATCTCAGGTTATAGTTAAGTGTCATAGCTATTGCTACATTCCCTAAATTAAAACAAACAAACAAAAAAGGTGCCTCAAAACATTAGGTAAAAGTCACTCCATTTACTTCTGTCCTCAGTTATTGAAGAAATGTAATTTAAAACTCTTAGATTTATCTTAGTAGTTAAAATTTCCATTTAAGATACTGGTTAGAAAGAGAAAGAATTGACACCAAATATTCTTGGAACAAAATGGTATTATATAAAATGTTATCTATTTGTTTACAACTTGATAAAGAAGAGAAATTGAATCTCATCATTTCATCTCAAAGTATCTAATTCAACACTTTCCTCCAGACGAAATAATGATTTTAGGTCATGAGTTTAGTTTTCTGCCTCCTTTTTGGTAATCTTTTCTTGGAATGACAGATAGCTAGCTCCACCCAGGAAACAGATGAGATTCCAGTTAATATGGAATTTGAGGTTTTTTTCTTATTAGGTATAAAAGATAGATATTAATGTTCACTAAATAGCTGGAAAGGAATACAAAACTCAAAAAAAAAAAATAGCAACCAAAAAACCCAGGATTTTTATTACTAATTATTTTATATAGCTAATTATTACATAATGTAGATAAAATGTCTCACAATGACAGATTTCACTTTTCTCTGACTCCTCTAGAGATGGTCTAGACCTGGCCCCGAGATGAATCTACATTATTAAAATGGAATAAAGTTAAGTTCTCTCCAAAGGATGATATCCCTTCTCACAGGAAGAATCTTGGGGAAATCTATAGAAAAGTATTCAGATTTTTCAAGTTTGTATTTATCTCTTTAAAATTATAAAACTTAATGAACCATGCTCTGATCAAAGCTTCCTTACAGTTCTAATAGTTCATGAAAATCATTTTTTAATTTAATTAATTAATTTATTTAGAGAAAGGGTCTTGCTCTGTGGCCCAGAATGGAGTGCAGTGGCATGAATACGGCTCACTACAGCCTTGACTTCCCAGGCTCAGGTGATCCTCCCACCTCAGTCTCCTGAGTGGCTGGGACCACAGGTGCATGCCACCACATTTGGCTAGTTTTTTGTATTTTATTGTAGAGACAGGGTTTCACCATGTTTCCCAGACTGGTCTCAAACTCCTGGGCTCAAGTGATCTGCCCACCTTGGCCTTCCAAAGTGTGGAATTATAGGTGTAAGCCATTGTACCTGGCCAAAATAATTTATTTTTGTATTGTATGGTTTATTTTTTCTTCTTCTTGATTCATAAACAAAGTTTGATTAGAGAAAACAGCAAATCTAAGACCCTGGGTATCCTAAGTCATTCATCTCTGCTTTGAATTTGGGCAATTCTCAAATTCAATTCAACAAACATTCATGCATTAATTGCACATTTATTATGTCCTGTGCACTCTGCTAGTACAGAATATATAAGTCTAAGAGCTTGTTCTCAGGTAGTTTAGTGTCCAGGCAGAAAGGTGTATACATAGCAAATATTATACTAGTCACCTCTAAAACATAGTCTCACTGGCCTAACAAATAAAGGGAAACTAGAAAAGGGAGAATTTACTCTATTGGAGAGATCAAAAAAGGGTTCAGAAATAAGGTGACAATTGGGTTCAGCCAAGTCAATCCAAGAATAAACGAGGCCCAATACATAGAGATATTATAAATTAAGGGACATTTTAGAATTTAAAATGAGAAATTAGAGGTATTTAGAATGCTCTTGCCACCCTTTCTGGTGATGTCACTGCACTTTATACCTGTCTCTACTCTGGCAGGTTGTCTTTTAAGAGATTTCATTCCAGGTGTGTCACTTGGGACAGATCCTGCTATCCCTTATAGCAGGATCACAGCCATATCACCTGCGAAATTCTCACCACCAAGGCGAGCACTCAGCACACAGTAGACAAAGTTTCTTAAGTAATGAATGGACTGAAGAGCTTAATAGCACTTTGTAAAGTAAATCAAACTTTCTGATCTGTCTCTTTTTGCAAGTTGAGTCTTTTGGATTTTGAGCCCCCAGAGGGTCAGTATCTGCTGTGGAGTCCATTTCCAGTGGCTTCCCCATGGTGTCATGTTTAGCTGGGTCAACTAAGTGGAGGATGAGGCCAATACAGACCCGTAGTGACCGTGGTTTTCTTGTCACTGTTCCCACCTCCATGCTAAGATCCTCACTGATCCTGAAGGAGTTCACACACATTCATACATTCCTCTCAAGGTGTCTTGAAGCTATGGAAGGAACATCTTCTTTTCTCTACATGTATCTGGCTGGGTAGACTTGCCCCACTGTCATCACTGAGCAGAGCCAAGAGAGACCAAACCTCAGGTTTTAGATTATACACAACCCCTCTCCAAGATGCACAAAGATGCTAGTATGGGCACACAACACACAACAGCAAAGATGCCAGAGAAGACCACAGAAATTAGCTGGGGTGTGAAATTTAATGGGAAAATACATCTGAAATGGGCAAACAGTGAAATCAAGATAGTCAAAACATTCCTCATTGCTCTGGGCAAACTCACCTTCTATCACTTCACATGAGACAGACACTAGAATTTGCTTATAGTTTTTTACTTCAGTACTCTTATTTATACCTAGGTTTATTTTTTGCTTCCCAGGTAATTAGCATTTTACTCTTAAATATCTGACTCTAAATTTTACCTTCTTCTTAAGTGTTTATTAACTTTTTATGACATTTTATTATCCAGTAATATAAGCATCATATTATAGTGGAAGATAATGGGAGAATGATATTTAAGCTTCCAGAAACTGTATTTTCTAGTTACAGATATTATAGAAAATGTATCTTTTCCATTTAAGGCAAAGAGTGGTGGTGATAGCTACAATATAAATTATATAATTCATGTATAATATTTAAGTATTAATTTCAAATTAGCACAAAGAGAAGATTTAGAATATTCACAGCACCAAGAAAGGATAAATGTGTGAGGTGATGGATATACCAGTTATCCTGACTTGATCATCACACATCCTATGCAAATATCAAAGTATCACATGTATCCCATAAATATGTAAAACTATTATATATTAGTGAGAAAAAATTAAGAAAATCCATTGGGTAAGGCAAACAAAAAGTCTACTTTATTCTGGCACAATCTTACCCCTAGAAACTTCATGAGTGTTCTATAGAACAGCATTGGCCTCACTGGGCGGCTTGTCAGAAACACAAATTCTCAGGCCCACTGTAGACCAGTGAATCAGAATCTACATTTCAACAAACTCCCCAGGTGATTTGTGCCACACTGAAGTTTTAGAAGCATTAGTCAACCAATCCCAGGGCTTCATGGAAGTTCCATGAAGAGAAATTATTTCATGAACTTTTCAGTTGAGTTTCCTTTCAAAGATCACACATGCTAATTATTTTCTATATGTTGCCTAAACGTACATTAAGAAACAATCCTGGAATTCGGTAGCCTCCCTATTTTTCATCTTATAGCCAATGCAGTGGTGCCATGTGTTATGAACTGTCTCCATCGCCTCCTGCAGGCATGTGAGAAGGGGAGAAAGAAGGAGCCACTGACTTGAATTTAAGAGTTATACATGAGAGTGACAAATGCTTTGCATTGTATGATGGGGAATTCAACTCCGCTGTCACCACGATGCTTTATTCTCTAAGGGTTGTCTTAGGCTCCAAGCAACAGAGTCATTAGTGTTTTCATTTTTACAGTTTTGAGATGGAGTCTGGCGCTGTCACCCAGGCTGGAGTGCAATGGCATGATCTCAGCTCACTGCAACCTTTGCCTCCTGGGTTCAAGCGATTCTACTGACTCAGCTTCCCGAATAGCTGGGATTACAGGTACCTGCCACCACGCCCAGCTAATTTTTGTATTTTTAGTAGAGATGGGGTTTCACCATGTTGGACAGGCTGATCTTTTACTCCTGACCTCAGGTGATCCACCCACCTTGGCCTCCCAAAGTGCTGGGATTACAGGCGTGAGCCACTATGCCCAGCCCAACAGAGTCATTTTTATAAAGGAAAACCCCCATCCCTCTACCCACAAACTTTTGTGTTTTACATACCAAGTGAGTTAGAGGAATTAGGCATTTCTTTGCTTGAGTTTATTCACTGTTAATCTTCCAAATGTGTCACCTTGAGAAGCTAAGGAGAGGCTGAGTCTCAGGCACCTGAAATGCGGTTGCTGGTCAGTAAGCCCCACCAACTCATTGACAACCAGAGGAAAAGGTGCCATGGCCTCCTTTTCTAAACCTGAGTTTCATAAAGACAAGAAACCCATTCATTGCTACAGAAGCAAGTATTTCCTCACAGTGATCCTGTTTGTATTGAAGAGAGCCTACTTAAGACATTGATGGTGACACTGATGCTGACAGCAATGACAAGAATGCCTGCTGGGGCAATGATAGGATGAAGATGTGTGGAAAAGGACTCAGCTATTTCAACTCTTTAGGTGACAAAGGAAGAGGACATACCCAAGCTGCATCCCAGACATCCTTCTTCACAAGGGACACATTCTTCATAGTCTGGGTCTTGGACTTCACCTACACAGAAAGAGAAGTGAAAAACACAACTCATTTCCATTGAGTGCAGACACGTTAATTGCTATAAAAATATCTTCTTGTGTAGCTTCTTTTAAAGTAAATCATAGAGCAATTATGAAGCCCAAAACCATCCTTGAGGATATATGTGGTTTCTACTTTTTAATCTCCTTCTGTTAATTGAATAGATTAAATCAGCTTGATTGGGTACAAAGAGAACCAGGTTGGACCATATGCCATGCAGCTAGTTTTGAAGTCAAGCTTGGTGATTTTATTTATTAAAGAAACCAGTTCTGCTTCTGGGACAATGGAATTGGGTATGTAAATGAACAGGTTCCCTTCCTCTTTTTATCTGTCCTACTAAACACTTTTTAAAAAGTTTAAAATCTTTTACTACACTCATAAACATTAAGGAGAGACAGAATTGAGTGTCTTAATTATTCTAAAAATGTCTTGGAGCTCTCTTCAGCACCAGACCAGGCATAATTCTCATAGAGAGCAGAGCAATAACAGTCCATGGCATTCTTACATAGAAGAGAACCGAAACTATAAGTGTTGTTTTTTAATTTCCTTCTTCCCATAAAAGATAAGAAATTGGGCAATAACAATAACACATATGACTCACAGGCCGTTTTAATATTTTCAAGTAGTTTTTGGCTGATCCTCACTGGCTTCTCAAAGCCACTCTGTCTTGATGCTCTGCTCTTCCTTTGACAGATGAAGACAACAAGGCATGGGCAAATTAGGTGAGTTTTGCCCAGGGTCTCGTGTCTAGTAATTGGGAAGGAGAAAACTGTTGACCCAGACTTTTGGATTCTAATCTTATTTTCTCTCCCCTATATCCTGTCCACAATCCCCCCACCTGCCAACATCATTTTCTTTTCTTTTTTCTTTTTTTTTTTTGTGATGGAGTCTTGCTCTGTCTTCCAGGTTGGAGTGCAGCGGCATGATCTCGGATCACTGCAAGCTCTGCCTTCCGGGTTCAAGACATTCTCCTGCCTCAACCTCCTGTGAAGCTGGGATTATAGGCATGCAACACCACGCCTGGCTAATTTTTGTATGTTTAGTAGAGACAGAGTTTCACCATGTTCCCCAGGCTGGTCTCGAACTCCTGACCTCAAGTGATCCACTTGCCTTGGCCTCCCAAAGTGCTGGGATTAAAGCACGAGTCACTGCACCTGGCCAATTTTCTATACACTTAGGTGCATTCCTACGATCTTGGATTATGTCTGGGGAAACCCAGAGAAAGGGTGTGTGAATAGAGAGAGAGAAAGTAACCTCTCTCCCCACTTGGGTATGGAGTCACCCAAAATCATCCCAAGTGCCGACACGTAAGCCAGGAAGGCAATTCAAGTCTCCAGGACATCCAGGGCTCAGGCCCTCCTCCCGTGTTCTGGTGCTGGGCAATGGCCCAGGAGCAGGCTTACCTTGTCCACACTCCAACTTCTGGCACGTGTGGTTGGTGGGCGCTAAGAAGTAGCCCCTTGTGCATCTTGTGCAGATGTGCATGTTGTGGCAAAGCTCACAGTTGTCTGGGCAGGGCAGGCAGGTATTCCCTTCAGTGGCATAGTGGCCCTCTGGGCAGCTCTCTCGACACTCTCCCTGGTATAGGAAGTACACTCGGCCATAGTTGTCTGATCAGTTACAGGGGCAACGAGAAGAGGGATAATGTACAAAGTTAGCCATGAAACTATTCTAATGTAAGATACTATATTTAAAAAAGATGCAACTGAGTGCTTTCGTTCCTAGGGGCTGAGGGGTATAAAGATGGATTTAATGAAAAGTGCAATAACTACATCCTTGTAGTTGAGAAGTTTTCCTTGCAGGGAATTATTTTCCAATATTTTATATATTTCAGTGAATAGCGACTACTATCTGGGATATCATTGCAAAACCATGCTCTGTGAATAACTACAATTCAAAATGTGTTTAACTTTCCCAAGGGCTCCTTTGGTATCTGTGAAAGCTCTCAGACTTGGGCGGGGGGAGGCTATAGAGATCCCATGAGAATAAACACATGCTTAATGATCGACACGTTTTATGAAAGTGCAATCTTTTAAAATGATTTTGAATTGGTATTGATCACATGCTTGCATTAACCATCTAAGGTATGAATTTCCTCAGAGTTGCCAATGCCCATAATGACAGGCTTATTGAAGCACTAGACCAAGCACACTTCTTTGACTCTTTTACGTGCATTCCTGAAGGTTCCTGACTTCTGTCAACATTGGATTCTATAAGGAAAGAACTGGCAGTGCCCACAGCATAACAGACCATGGGAATTTGTTCCTGGTGGGAATGGAAAAGTCTAACCAGTTACAAAGCATCACAATTAGTTACAAAGGATTCTAATCAGTTACAAGTACAAAAACAACAATTAGGTGAATACTGATGCATCTAGAGGTCTCCTACTCCCACCCTCTTGGAGTTTTTGTGCTGAGTGTGCTCGGGGTATCTATCTTCTCTGAATCAGATTTCCCATATGTCCTTGCCTCTGAAGAGCAGCCGATCTGTGTTACTCAGAATAACCAGGGTCTAGGGTTCATTCCTCATGTGATCTACCACATGGATATCCAAAATCATTGACCTTCAAGATGCAAGGCTGCTGAATTTGTGGATAAAGATAGCACTAAACCCATGTTGCAAGTGTGGAAACGGAAAGTCAGTCTAATGTTAAATTGACTCACATGAAATTGCCAACATTTGACTATTTTTTACCTGTAACCATGGCACTTTCACATCATTTATCATAATATTTCTTATTTATGCAAAGCCATAGTTGAAATACGCTTTTTTTTTTTTTTTTTTTTTTTTTGAGACAGGGTCTCACTCTGTTGCCCAGGTTGGAGTGCAGTGGCATGATCTCAGCTTACTGCAACCTCTTCCTCCTGGGCCCAAGTGATCCTCCCACCTCAGTCTTTCAAGTAGCTAGAACTACAGGTGCATGCCACCATGCCCAACTGTTTTTTTTTTTTTTTTTTTTGTATGTTTTGTAGAGATAGGGTTTCATCATGTTACCCAGGCAGGTCTTGAACTCTTGCACTCAAGTGATCTGCCTGGCTTGGCCTCCCAAAGTTCTGGATGTGAGCCACCATGCCTGGCCTGAAATGCAATTTTTAAAACATGCTTTTGGATTATGGGCTCTCAGGCTACCTTTTTTGCTGATTATGATTTTATACCTGAAGGCTACTGGTTCCCATAGGACCAAGAAAATAAAAACGGCTTCCACAGAGGTGGTGGAAGAAAATATTCTGCTGTTTCTAAATTAGACATAGAAGAGATTATCCTCTAAGGAAAGAAGAGGGTTTGGAAGGACTGATGTGCATTTGGTGATTCTATAGCTATCGATCAACATTGTGGAGCACAAAACTCTGATCTGGTGGAACCTGAAATCTCTAGAGACCACAAGAAGGTCATCCTTCCAAGTTATGTTCTCAGTCACTTTATGAAACCATAGCCAATGCCATTTCCATCCACCATGACTCATTCAGAAAAAAATCTTTTTTTCAGAGTTCCCCAATTTCTCTGGGGTAGGTAGGAAGATTTGAGGGAAAGCAGTGAGGAAATCTACCTCTTTTGCATCCCCTACGCCTTCACATGACATCAACTCAGGACGCAGATGCTTAGGGGGACTCTAAGGCTCTAAATATGTATTTGTGGAATGACTGACTGGAGTTAATTCATATTTGGCAATATTCAATTTTTCCCCTATATCCAACTGGATCATCAATCTTGAAAATTAGCAACAATGGGCTTAGATTTAGAAGGAAGTGTTCTTCAATCCCGTTTTTATTGTTTGGACATGGCTTTATTGAGGGGCCTCTTCAGGTGTTATAATTTGGGTTTAAAGAACAGAGATTTGAGGGGGTCTCATGCCTTGGTCATGACCAGCTTTTCCCACAGGTTTGGTCCAGGACTATGTCAAGATTTGGTCAGATTTTGAGTAGCCCTGCTCAATTAGTTATGGATGATAATTTAAACACCATGCGTAAATTTTTGGCCACTCGCCCAGGGTCTTCAACTTCAAATTATTACAATAGTATGTAGACGAAGCTATTTCCAGTGGTAGAAGGGCTGATACTTTTGTTAGGCACCGAAAATTTTCCTGGGACAAGAGTTCAAATGGGATAATAGGGGACAAGAGTTTGGATTGGCTTTTGTTTATTCTGGAGAGTGATTCGCTTTTACCAGAGCATTTCTTGGCAGCTGATTCTGTTAGGTGAGAAGGTGGACCAGCATGAAGATATTGGATGTCCATAGGAGAAAAGGAAGGGTGAGGGTTGAAGGCATGAGGTGAAAAGGACTGCTGGAAAGGATAAAAGAAAGGTGCAGGGATTCTGAAAATAAACTTGATGAAGTTGACTACCACATTTTGCTTGCTGTAGCTGTTGTGTGATTGATGGAACTTAGCTTTGGGTCCAGTTTGGTAGTGAATAAATCTGGAAGAGAATTGGAGTGAATCCTCAGCAATATAGCTGGAGATGTACATTTCCAAAAGGCATCATACATAAACCTTAGTGAAGTCACAATTAAACAAGGGACACAATCTCTACAAATTGGTGGGAGGGGCTTATGAAGATTGATGGGACCCCCTGGCTGGATGATTTTTAGCCTTTTATTAAAGCTTCCATTTATGGATATGGAACTTCTTCAATTAAATCATCCTTCTTCTTCTTCAGCACTGTCCCATCAAGGTCTCTGCTACGTTTGCTTCACTAATGCTTCTTAAGGACATCACTCTTAAGTAGGCAGAACTACCTCAGGGCTTGCTAAACAACAAGCCCTACCTCGAGGAAGCCTTCTCTGCTCATCACAGCTGGAAGCAATGCTGCTTCTCTGATCTGGCGTAGGATTTCTACCATGCATTTGGTCTTCATCTACTATTTTCTTGTTTTGTAATATATGAGGACAAACCTCCTTGTTAGACTGTAACTCCTTGAAGGTGAGTATCTGCTATCATTTATCTCATTTTCTCTGGCATTCCATACACAGTAACTTGTAAATAGAAGGGATGCAATAAATGTTTAAGATAATGGATTAAGCACAATTTCAAACAGAAAAAAAAAAAAAAAAAAAAACAGAAGAAATGTCAGCTCATTTGTAGGTAGGTTGGTCCAAGTAACTGTAGGATGCTTAGAAGACTAGACATTTGTTTGGTATCTAAACTTCTTTCTAATTTTGTGCTATATAGGGAGATGTGAAAGTGATTTTGGATGCCATCTTGTCCTTTCTCTTCTTCCTCTTCTTTTTTTTTTTTCTGTTACAAGTAAGAAGAGGCATAAAGAGGTAAAGTGACTGGTTTAGTACCTTCTCGTCAGTAACAAAGCCAGGACTTAAACTCACATTTTCTGACTGCTGGTCTTAACATTCCTTCCATTGAACCATTCATTCATTCGTTCATTCAGTTATTTATTGTGAACCTTTCATATACCAGACACTGTGCTGGTGCTCAAAATACAGCAGAAATAAGGGAGAAACCATGCCATGCTCTTATGGGGCATACAAACGTATGGACCAAATAGACATCAAATGTGTTGAGGCTCGTGAAGGGGGAAGTGCAGCATTCCCAGGTTGTTCCTGTGAAGGCCTAATCCAGGCAAGGAGGTTAGGGCAGCCCTCGCTGAGGAAACGATGTTGAAACTAAGATGGAATAGGAAGACATCAGCCAGACAACAAGCAGAAACATCTCAAATGAAGTCTTAGGAGCAAGAGAAACTCAAATGCCCAAAAGAGTAAGCAGCTACAAACAATAACAGTAATGATAATAAAAATAATAACAGTTAATATTCTAAGTGCTCACCATGTGGGGCTAGCCCTGTTCTAAATGCTTTATTGTTTTATCTCATTTCATGTCATTTAATTTTCATAAAAACTCTTAAAGAAGTGAGCATTATCATCATCTTGTAGATGAGGAAGGAAACAGAATAAGGCAGTCTAGAGGTAAAATATGACAGGTGTTTGTCCTATTTTGACGCATGAAACACAAAGCAATGATTTTAATTTATACACAGAAATGCGTTATCTCCTGATCTTCTGCAAATGCCTGGTACTCCTAATGTGTTCTTCATTTTTCTTGGTTTACTGCAAGGAAGACTAAAGATCAATAATTCTTTTCCACCAGAAAAATGATCTAAGGATGATAATGCTGGTAACTGATAGCCTCAGGATCAGTGAGACAACTGGGAATGGTGGGGACTGGGGAGAGATGGACAACAGCCTCTTTTGGACTCCAGGTAATGATTTGGGAAATGCAGGTCCAGTGTTGGTGGATCTTTTGAATTTTCAATAGACATCAAACCCTCAAGTTTTTATCTGCAATGTCCCAATTTTTAAATTTGGCTCAAATTTAAAAAGCAGTATATAGAAAAAAAAAATACGAATCTGGTCCACATGAGGTCAGTAGGGGACAGGCATATGAGTTGAGGCTGGAAAGGAGTCAAGGGTCAGAATGCAGAGAACCCTTGAGAGCATGAAATAGAATCCAATGGCAGCAGGCAACTTTTAGTGCAGGTAAATCTGGGACTCAAAGGTCACATTTGTAATCATTTGAAATGATGACCTTGCTCTGCTGAGCTCTGGCAACTTCTAAGTGGCATACCTCAGCTCCAAGAAGACTCACACACAGCCCCTAATACAATACTTTCCTTAAAGACAGAACGTGTCTGTCTTAATTCCCTAGCTTTTCACTTGTACTTCCACAAATCTTAGCTTCACTGTCTTATCTCACGTCTGACCTCATGCTTGTCTGTCCTTCTCTGGAAAGGCATCTCTTAGCTGCTTTCTCATCTTTTCAAGGGCACCGAGTCTACACCTAAATAAGGTGAACAAGCTTTTTGTGTCCTGACAAGCAGAAAGTTCAAGGTTGTCCAGCCTCTCCAGTGAACAGCTGTCTGATCTTAACCCTCAACCCCAGACACAAGGCTTTTGGGTCAAACCAAATGATGGCCATCAGGAGAGGAACAGGTTTGGGGTCAGGAAGACAGAGGAGCAGCCGTCCTCTCACCTGCTTCACAGGAGGTGCAGTGGGTAGGGCCGCTTCCTTGGCATCTCTGGCAGGTGTGGTGGCATGGATGGCATTGGTTCTCAAATTCAAATTTCCGTGAGGGACAGCTGGAAACACAGCGGCCATCATCAAGAATCCTAGAGGAAATGCAGACTTTTAGAATTCACCAGGGTGACTTTCCAGAGTGGCCCTAAGTATCAGAACATGCGGTTTTCATGTTTGCTGTACAGATTTGACTTCATTGTTCCAGAAACAAGGGGGATGACTGGGAGTGATCATCTTAGAACATGTAAAATATTAGTCATGTACCCATCCTTGGCCCAAGATTTGGACTTAACAGCCAGTGTGCCAAAAACTGGCTGGGAAAACAATCCCGAATCTGGTTCCAAACAAGCTAACTGGTGCCCACAGGGATTAAACCCATATTATAGGCCCCAACCAAACCCAGCCAACAGTCAGATGGAGGTTTCTAAACTTTCCATACACTCAGTGGGCCTTTGAGAGAGGCCTTGGAGAAAATATTCTTCCTTTATCTATCAGCATGCTCATGCTTTGCAAGGGAAATGTCAGCTCCAAGGGCTCTTGACGAGTAGAACAAAACACTGCTTTGTAGCTCGGGTGCTACTTAGAAGCCCGGCCTGAGTATGTTGCAAGTAATCAATGAACTCTGATTTTGAGTGTCTTGTTTTGCAAGCATTTCCTGAGATATGGAGCACTGGAGTCTCTATTTTCTGACCATGAACACTTTCTGTGAACACCTACAAAGGGCATTACTGATGAGTTAGTATATGGGCTTCTAAAACTTTGGTTTTACACACATACAATATATATCCTAATGTCATTGTTAATATTTTTGTAGTTTTGCTTCATTATTCTTTGCAAACTAATCATAAGAGCAAATGTGATTAAGTAAATTGTATCCAAGTGTTCTGTTCAGAAAAATACAAAATGTTTATCAAATGCAAGAGTCAGATAGGTAATATGAATAGATGAAATGAGCTGGGGGCTGCACACCCAGAGTTCCTAATTTAGTGGGTCTTAAAGGGAGGCAGCTGAGAATGTGCATTTCTGACATTCCAGATGGTGCCAGTGCTGCTGGTCTGGTGAGCAGTCTTCAAGATCCGCTGCTCAGTGACAGTCTGGATTACTGTGGAATTCACTAAATGATTCCTGTGTAATACAGGTGACATCAAATTGGCATCTCTTACGCTCCCTTAGAATAACAGTTATTGTATCAATTGTGAGGTTCACTGAGCACACAGCATACACGTGCTCCCGTGAGCATAATGCTGCCATCCAGGCCTGGGACATCTGAGTGGGCCTGCGAAGACAGGGAAAGTTGTCTTTTTCTCTCTACTACTCCTCTCCACTTAAGCTGCACACCACATGAAAGGTCAGCTGTAGGCCTCAAGCAACTTGTTCCTGTATTGGCACTGGCTTGTTTAAAGTTCATTGTTTCCAGAGCTAGAACCAACCCTGAATTGAGGGGTGGGCCATTTCAATCCCAGGTTTAGAGGAAAGTTGGGTGGGGCAAGGCATCCTGAATAGTATGTCACTGCAGTCTTCTATCTCATTCATTCCCACACACTGAAAGTCTGTGTCATTTGCATCTGTTTGGAGACAGAATGGGATTCAAGCCAACAACCTGAGACATAAGTCCACCTCTGTCTTGGATTCCCAGGCCCTCATGTTCTGTTAACCATCCCCAGCACCACTGAATGAACAATCCTTCTGGCCCTCTGCAAAGCGTGAGTCCTAGTCCTAAACAGACACTCACACGCATCTGGCTGTCCATGTCAAAACAGATCCCCTGCACCATGGCATAGAATGAGATGCCTGTGCTCCCAGCCGAGATTTTTAGTGGATGGCGCTAATGCCAAAGGGGAATATCCCAGCCCCAGCCTGGCACCAGTTACTGAGCCAGAAGACTTTTCAAGGAATAGTCTGGATGTGGCTAATTTAATATGAACAAACAAAGAAAACTATAATCTTTCTACAAGAAAAACTGTGGAAGAGCTTTCTGAGGATTTTAAGCAAGAAAGCTATTCGATGTTCTGCTGAAAAGGAGAATGGGGCAGGTTTATTCTGGGGGTTTATTTTCTTGCTAAAATCAATTGAGAAAGGGATACGAAGTACATCATCATTTTATCTCTTATAGCAGTGGTCCCCAGCCTTTTTGGCAGTAGGGACTGTGATTTGGTTTGGCTGTGTCCTCACCCAAAATCTCATCTTGAATTGTAGTTCTCGTAATCTCAAGTCATGGGAGGGACCCAGTGGGAGGTAACTGAATCATGGGAGTGGTTACCCTCATGCTGTTCTTGTGATAGTGAGTGAGTTCTCGCGAGATCTTATGGTTTTATAAGGGGATTTTTCCCCTTTGCCCAGCACTTCTCCTTCCTGCCATCCTGTGAAGAAGGAGTCTTTCTTCCCCTTTGCCTTTTGTCATGATTGTAAGATTTCTGAGACCTTCCCAGCCATGCAGAACTATGAGCCAATTAAACCTCTTTTCTTTATAAATTACCCAGTCTCAGGTATTTCTTCATAGCAGCATGAGAACAATCTAGTACAGACCAGTTTCATGGAAGGCAATTTTTCTACAAATGGGGATGTAGAGGATGGTTTTGGGATGATTCAAGTGCATTATATTTATTGTGCACTTCATTTCTATTATTATTACATTGTGATATATAATGAAATAATCATACAACTCACCATAATGTAGAATCAGTGGGAGCCCTGAGCTTGTTTTCCTGCAACTAGATGGTCTCATCTAGGGAATGATGGGAGGCAGTGACAGATCATCAGGCATTAGATTCTCATAATGAGTGTGCAACCTAGATTGCTCATATGTGCAGTGCACAATATGGTTCACACTCCTGTGAGAATCTAATGCTGCTGCTGATGTGACAGGAGGTTGAGCTCAGACGGTAATGTGAGCAATGGGGAGTGGCTATAAATACAGACAAGGCTTCACTTGCTCATCTGCTGCTCACCTGCTGCTGTGCAGCCCAGCTGCTAATAGGCCATGAACCAATACCAGTTCATGGCCTGGAGTTTGGGGACCCATGTTTCATAAGATGAGATGACAGATTGGCTTGGGGGGAAATCATTTGTTTTGGGAGAAGTGATCTCTGATTAATGGGAACCACTAAAAACTACTCAGAAATAGGAGAAGAAGCAGAAATAGAACCCTTCCATGTTTACATAGGGAAGGGGCTGTCTTTTTGACTTGATTTTAGGAACATATCAATCACATAATCATGCTTGAAACCATTCCCTCCATGTCTAACAAAAGCATAGGCGACATCTCCAGTTTTTGTAAGAGGATGATTATTTCTAAAGATAGAAAGATAGGGAAGACAGTTATGCTTAAGTGAAGGCACTGAATTATGTCACCACGACCCACCCCACATTCTCCAAACTCCCCCCAAAATATTGCTAAGAAACTTGAAGAAAAATCCCATTCCAAATGGCCACAGTTTTCAACAGACACCAACAAATTTTCCGTAGTAGAAGAGAATAGATATTTTGCTCTATAAAAGTAGAAAATGGGGCTGATGAAAATTTTCCTTAAAGCCAACTCAAGGCATCTCTGGGACCACCAGGCATCCAATTCATGGATTCCTGAGATGCCCAGGCAAGCTCATCTCTGCAGGGGAAGAGCTTCTCTCCCCAGCTCATGTCAGTTCTTGACCTTTTCATAGGAAGTGAACCATTCCAGACCGAACAGGCCTGAAAGAAAGGGAGAATGCAGTGGAACCAAGTGCTCAACAGCTGGGCAGAGATGATCTTAACATTGGCGCTGAGTGTTCCAGAAGGCCCCAGGATGTGTGTGTGACATGAACTGTAATGAAAGAGATGGCATGTCAGGGTTAGCTTGTCCTCTTTCCTGATTGTTGACTTGGCCCAATTAAAGTCATTACAATGGCACTTAGTGTAATTTCTTGGTGCTTTAATATTCTAAAAGAATGAAATCTAGTAAGAAGATTTTTTTGTCTGAATTCATAGAAATAGATCAAATAAAATGTTTGAGCACGGGTCAGAGCGGAGATAACTTTGAAATGTTTTTAATTAGTTCACTGACTCTGTAACTCCTTCAGGGCTGGGCAGGGAAATTAGTTTGGGCAGTGAGGACCCCAGCATCACAGAGCTTTGCATGTTAAATACAGTGGCAAAGAGGGCGCTTGGTTTCTCCAGGTTTTTAATTCTTTAAGGAGCTAAACCCAGTGGTTTATAAAATTGTAAAGGAAGGGTGGTGGCTGCCTTATTAAACAAATGTTCAAATATTCTCCGGGTTCAAATGACATGCACACATGCATTGGAATTTGATTCTTGGTATGGTGGGGAATTGGAGAAAAAAACAGAACCTCATTTTGAGAATGCTATCTGTATCTTAGAGTAAGTCCTGATGCTTCTTTAAGGCAAATTCAATATTTAGAGGCATAGTTATTTTAAAGAGACACTTGGAAAAATATGCTCATGGTTAGCCTTAAAAATTCTTGAAACTGTTCCTTTGTGTCTTCTTCAGTCCTTTCTCCTTCCTTCTTTCCTCTTTTCCTTCTCTTATTCATTCTTTCCTTTCTTCCTTCCTCTTTCTGAGGGAGCTATTTGGAGAGCCAAACCTATGATATTGATTACATACTTCATCAAGTTCAATAAAACACATTTATTGAATTGTTATGTGTTGATCACTATGGGGAATAAAGGAACAAACACATCACAGCACCTGCTTGCAAGAATATTACAGTCCTGCAGAAGTAGGACAAAATGACCATTATGCAAAGCAGAGGGCATGTCCATCCCAGAGATGCAAAGTGCCTGCCACTGGAGCAGCCTCATCACCCTTGCCTGCAAGAGACCTGCTTCCTTTGCATTGGGAAGGGCAGTGATGAGGCCATTCAGTGAAACACTCAGCAGCCAACAAATATTCAGTGCTAGGCTCAGAGGAGCATTGAATGAAAATACAACAGGCCTCCAGCTTTCTTCATTAGAAATTCCCAGTGTATTAGCAAAGATGCTTATTCCATTTGCATACTTACTATTCCCTCATTAACTCAGTTAGCAAACATCACCGAGTGTCTACTATTATCCCAGAACTGTGGTAGGTACTAGAGATCAAAGACGAGTATCTCAAGTGGCTTACAGTCTGATGAGGAAATAGCTTTGTAAATGAAAACCTTCAAAGGCTACAGGTGCTCTTACAGAAGCTTATAGAGAGCAAAGAGATATAAAAATGGTTAATTTTTGCTGGGAAGAGATTAATTTTACTGAGAAGAGGTCAGAAATGCCTTTGAGAACAGTTCACCCCTTGTAATCCCAGCACTCTGGGAGGCCGAGGCGGGTGGATCACCTGAGGTCAGGAGGTCAAGACCAGCCTGGCCAACATGGTAAAACCCGTATCTACTAAAAATACAAAAATTAGCCAGGCGTGGTGGCGGGTGCCTAATTCCAGCTACTAGGGAGGCTGAGACAGGAGAATTGCTTGAACCCGGGAGTTGGAGGTTGCAGTGAGCAGAAATAGTGCCACTGCATTCCAACTTGGGTGACAGAGCGAGACTCTATCTCAGGAAAAAAAAAAAAAAAAAGTTCACTTTTGAACTGACTCTAGAAATAAGTAGATACTTGACCAGCAGATGGAAATGATGATTGAGGAATGGGTGTGCAGAAAAGGATGAGATTTCAGGCATCAAAAGTGGCATCAAAGGCACCCTATTCATTGGTGAGGAAATCTGTTCCATGTCCAGGGAACTGGGCCTTGTGATGGGGACTGGGCGTCATGGGGAGAGGATACCACAGAGCTGGGCTGTGCCCAGACCAAGGAGAATATCTGTGGAGTGGGAAGGAGTTTGGTTCCTTCTCACTGCAGGCCCATGGGATGCCGCTAAGGTGGTGAGCACCTCCTCTCTCCACCCTGCAATCCATGAGCTCACACCACCGGGAGATCCTGAGAAGCCACTTACCTTGTCATGGGGCAGGCAGTGCAGTCTTCCTGGGTTGGTCCCCGGCACTTGGCACATGAGGCCTCACAGGTCTGGCAGTGGCCATGGTCATCAACGTATTCTCCTGGGGAACAAAATCTAGTTGTTTACTTCATTTCTACATGGCAAGGCTGCCTGGGCTGTCAGTCTGAGAGCAGCCAGATCTCCGTGGCTGCCTGAAAGCGATGCAGACAACACAGAGAGGAGAGGCCTTGAATGGCTTCAGCTGCTAGTCCCAAATCCTGATCTTATCATAACAACAGTTCCTCTCCTGGGGGGCCCCAGAAGTTGGAACCTCAAAAAGTTATGAGGCAATGACATATTTCTGAATCTAGTCAACATGTGTTACAGATTTTATAAGTAGGGAAGGCCAAGCGGGGCTTCCCACCAGACCCCTTTACTGAACTCCTACTGACGTTCCCATTAAAAGCTGAGGTCTCCTGGTCCACAGAGGGCCCTATAGTTTTGGTTCAAGTCAAGCAATGACCAGGACTCACCCAGATCTTGTCTTACCACCCCATGGGGTAGAGGTGCGGGAATCGTGGTTACTGGTCAAGAATGGGTGCTGAGTCTTGGCTGACATTGGGCAATTGTAAGCTATATCTCACTCGGAAAGAGTAATAGTGAAGAAATAGCCAGGGAATTCTTCCTTTAATTGGAAACTTTATCTTTCCCAAGGGAAAACACATATGGGGCCCTGCAACAGAAGCAAATCCAGCCTCACAAGTTTCTTGGAAACATTTTAAGAAATTACTCCCACAGTAAAGGTGGCAAAGGGGGGCCAGTCTCATGGAAAGTAAATCTCATGGATTTAAAGATGGGCCTCTACTCACTGAATCCAACCCTCATTGCACTCATCCTAACCTGCTATTGTCTTAAAAAAAATTGACCGGCTTCTTTGGTCAGATCCACAGAGCCACTTTTTCTGGTTTAGAAACTGGTCATGCCCAGAAAATATGATTTCAGATTTTGGCAGAGACACAACCTCCACTGGACCTCAACCCCCTCCAACTCTGACAGCCCCCATAAGCTATATCTGAACACTGTCAATCTGAGATCCAGCTGGTGGGGTGAGATAGCAGGACCCGCCCAGGGTTTAATCAAGTTGTCTCACTGAAACACCAAGACTCATTGCCTGATTTAGCACAGTTGCATTGAAAAGAGTCCTGGAAACCCAGACTTGACTGGTGAGGAAATGAGGGAAATTAATCCTTCTTTCTCCCCCCCCCCCCCCCCCCCCCCGCCCCATCGCTTCATTGGACTGGTACAGCTAGCATGTAAGTAAATCTTATATATGTAAATTTTACACTTGCTAGTACTAAACCCCAAAGATGAATGTGAAGAGACAACTAGAGTTTGCCTTTATGTAGCAGAAAAAGCCTTTCATGTAGAGTTATTCTATTCGTTTTGTTAACTGAAGGGAAAAGTGCATGTTCAAAGTGATGCAAACATGTAATCACAGCACAACCTGCACACCCCGGGCTCTGTTCCTGTATATCTCCTCGTTGTTACCAAGGTACAATTTGGACTGGGAAACTTATATACAATTTTTAGAACGCAAATGGGACTGGGACTGTAATTCTTACTTCAGGACTGAGTAGGAAACCTCCCAGGAGACCTAGGCCCAAAAGAGTGCATAACTAGCAGGGGCAAAGAATACAGGTATGCAGGTTGTTCACTGCACAAGGTGCCTACCCACCCAAATGGTCCCGTGGAGGCTGACATCCAGCCCGTTTGCTTCACCATGCCAGGCACTCTGGTGTAGGCTGCCTCTGCCTCTGTAGAGGGACACCTTTTATTAACTCACACAAAGGCGTTGACTGGACTGGTTACATTCTTGGTAACCAGTAGTCCTAAGACAGCTAAAAGCTGTGACCTCCATCTAGCAGGAGTGGTGATTTCAAGCTGAGACTGTGTCACTTACTACAGGCATCATCATAGTTATGCAGCCTTCTTTATATTTATCCAGGCTCCTCCACTTCACCTCTTATTTACGGCTTCCACTATTGTTGTAGGAGGCACAATCAATTGAGCAGGGTGATTATCAGTCCAGGTACCAGCAAAATTAAGAGCAGAGGACCCAGGGCAGGCTTGGTGGGAAGAAGTAGACCTTGCCTACAGGGGCCAGTGCAAACACTTTGTGTTTACAGTTAGGTGATATCTATGTATCTTTCAAAAAAAATATGCTGAGTGGAACAAGAATGGAGGAGGTTCATAGAAGCTTAAAACCCCACAAAAATTGTATTCTAGAGAAATACGGACTCTTAGAGAGCACAACTTATCTGTTCATTCATTTTATGGATGTATTTTTTAACACTACATACATGCCAGCAACTAAGGGAGATGTAGAGATGTACAAATTAAAAAGACCCTGCTTGTGTGTTCTCAAAGATTTTACGAGAATGATTTATAAAGAGATAGTTATAACCCAATTACTAGCCAAGGGACTTCTACTTCCTCAGGTCAGATTAAAAACCAAAACAGAAGGTGTACACAGGACTCTGCTAGACCCAGAGGCAAAGACAATTACTTTGCCTTGACATCGGTGCCTATAGGAATGGACACAGTGGTTTGGTTCTTCCACCTCCTCATATTCATCTACCCTCATTTCCATGACGTATCAGATCCAATGCTAGGATAGGATTTTAAACTAAAACACCTTGCTCTGCTAAGTCAAATGCTACTTAGAAGGTTCTGAAAGTTATATCATGTCTGTGCCCAAAGTTTTTATCACGCAGATGAGGCATTGTTAGGTTAGTTGAGGGTTATTAAGATGTAACAGTGAAAATTTTGAATTCTCTCCTGTATCTCTTGTTTGCCTTCTCATTGGCTTCCATAAACCAGTAGGTGACTTTAATACCCTGGCTTTGCATGTCCTCAATCTACTCAACTATAGTGGCCTCTGTTGGCACTCACAATGTGCTGCCTTAGATATAATGACCACAAAATATTACCCCATCTCCAAGATTTTAAATACATCCTCCAAGCACAGTGGGACATTCTTATGTCCCACTATGAGTCTACATCATCCCAGGTGACTCCCTATCACTTCGTGATTATCCCTTCATTCATCTCTTCCAATCTCCACCTTGCCTCCCCCACTTGGGGTAGGCCAAGCCATTCCAAAGCCCAAGTTCCACCCATTCTTCTGCAAAAGGAGACATCACCTCTTCTTCCAATCTCCACCTTGCATCCCCCAAGCCGTCCCAAAGCCCAAGTTCCACCCATTCTTCTGCAAAAGGAGACATCACTTCTTCCAATCTCCACCTTGCGTCCCCCACTTGGGGTAGGCCAAGCCACCCCAAAACCCAAGTTCCACCCATTCTTCTGCAAAAGGAGACATCACCTCCTCATTTGCAATAAGATGTCTGAGTTCCCTTGGCTTTTTTTTTTTTTTTTCCTCTCTCAATGTCAAAAGTCATCTCTGTTTCCTCCTTGGCTTTTTACTTTTCTTCTGTCTCCAAGAAATGTCTGCCTCTCTTCCTGGCTATTGTCAGTTCCCCATCTACTGTTATAATCTTCTTTCCTCAGGATATTTCTCCACCAGTTCCTCTGCCTTTAATCTCTTCCTCACAACTCTCATCCTTGTCTGATCTACAAAAGTTTTCTGCTAACCTAAAACCTTCCCCAGCCCTTTCCCCACCCTGATAAGGTACTCGTAAAACTTGTTTTTTCCTCCTACTATTTGGAAACAAAATGGTGAAAACTTCATGACCTTGAAGCTTATGTAAGAGAGTCAGTGTAAGACAGCTAAACTGTGCGTGTCTCTCAAGTCTGCGTGCCTCTTCACGTTAGAACAGCTGATGAGAACAGAGGAAGCTTCTCCCATGCTCATATTTATGTAGATGTTCAAGTAGTTACATAAACAACTGCCCCCAGCTCTTACAGGCACAAGTTTTCACTGCATGTTTGGAACTGAAGAAACCAGGTTCCAAGGACACAGAGAAGTTGCTTTTTTTTTTTTTTTTTGGTTGTTGGAGCAGCAAATTCTTGTCATCTGTCTTCATTGCACAATGAAGCTGAATGTTTATGACAGGCATGATATACAAAATTCTTACAAAAAGTCACTTTTAACAGAGCCTTCAGGGGCCAGTATTCTGTTTTCCACCTCATCCTACAAGCTCTTCTTTCTGGCATCTTCATCTGTTGTTATGATTTCCAGATCATTTTTCTCCTGTGATCAAAAATGTTCCATTCCCCCTTTAGTTCCTTTCTCATCCTATGCTATAATGGTTCAAAGGACATTGAGGAAATGTAGTCACTGGGAGAGGAATGCTACCTTAAAAGTTGAAGACCCAGCTTAAAAATTAATACTTATAAATTTTAAAAAGTTACGAGTGGCTTACTGTGCTTATTCCATCTCTTGATAACACTGTAGAATACTGTCAACAAGTCCAGATTCTAAGGAAACGTTATAAAGTCTTCCAGAATAACTGAACGTGTATCACAACACCCACAGTTACAAAATATGATTGAAGTAATCATTTTTAAGGTTTACATGGCCCAAAGAGCCTCATTTCTCCTGAACAAATGCTATGCTTTCTTTTATACCTCATAATATTTCTTTATTGATTACAGCTAACTTAGAGAATTCTAGCAAATAAATATGTCCACTGAATAAACTAATCAACACATAAATCTGATAGTTTATGATGCAAGTTTAAAAACTTTTTAGCAAGATGATTAGTAAGAGAGGGTGGGAGGAATTTGATGAGAATTCAGCTGCTTGGTTTTTGATCTGGTTATTTCAGTGAGTAACCTTGGGGTATGAAATTATCTGTAGACCTCCCTGTGAGGCCTATTTATGTGCCTTGTCACTCAGATGCCAGAAATCATAGAGTATGAGTGATTCTACAATCACAAGTGTTAATCAAATAATACTATCTCTTTGCAAGGATGCCAACATATAGTTTCCAACTTAAGATACCATTCTGTGAAGATAATTTTTATTTAAAACATCTATGTATTTTTCACCAGCTACAATAAATATGCAGCAACACTTTCAGCTACTTATATACTAATGAAATAAGTTGTTTTTCAAAGCCTTGTTAAGCATGAAGTTTTATAGCAAGACTCAAACTATGA